CCTCCTTGGGTTTCCGAGGCAGTATCACTACGGAAGTAGGACTGCCCAACCTTCCTTCCGAGGAGTGGCTGGTGGGTTTGAACCACCAGCCTTCTAGTTAGCAGTCAAGTGCCTTAGGCACTATACTACCAGAGCTCCTAAACATTTAGGAGTGTTTATTTTGTTGTAGATGTGCATATACCCAAGAGTTAACATGGGAAGAGAGGGAATAGCAGGGGCTTTCCCTCTTACCTCTGTGATACAGCACACATCAATTTAACCACATTGGTCTTTAAGCTTGCATTTGAGATAGCCTGGTGTTTTTACTTCTATCCCTACCGAGAGACTCAAAAAATCTTAACTTTTTGTGAGTTTTTACTCTTACCAAAGGGACTCCATCCTGCAAACCAATATCCTGAAAAACAGAAAATTCCCTCTTCAGAAAAGTGAATACCCCAATAAAAGCTTCTTAGAGTAGTAGGGCTCATCTCATTTGCCGAGTGTGAGTTGAGCAAAATTAGTCCTAAGCATGCTTCCAACTTTAATATCCTATGTGTCTCTGACTACCTGATCCCTAGATGCATCATGGCCTATAGTCACTCACAGAGGGAAGGGGGCCCAGAGAAAATCTTCCTACCAACTCACTACCTAACTTTGTCAGTGACTCTAGCTAAGGCTTGTGGGATAGGAAGTGCATGCGACTAAGGAGAGTAGTGGCCATATAGTAGTCATGGCAACTTATCATATGCTTAAATAATTTTTTAGGGGTGGGTGGTAGTATCTCGTAAATCCAAGGAGGGATAACTACAAGTCAAATCGATTGGACAGCAGTGAGTTTGGTTTTTGGTTTGGTAGTACGTATTTTGCCACCCCATTCCCTCAAGATGTGATGACTGGAAAAAAGATCTTCTGTCCAACATCCCATTTTTGCTACTATTGGGATGTACCAACAATTGCTAAGTTCAGGCGAGTCAAACTGGAAGATACTCGTTGCCAGTATGTGTAGGGCAGGAAAAAGTGTAGCCCCAACTACACCACGAGAATAAAGTTAACCTTCCCAAACTCTTCTTCAAAGGCTGGGCCACTACTGCCATTGCAGAGCAGGGAACAGGGGTTCCTGAAACAAAGTTACATAAGCGGCAGGAGCCGCTTCCCTAGCCCAAGCAGCTCGCAGCCATGGCTGCCGCGCTACTTCCCTGTTGAAAGCTCGCAACTTCTGAATGGGGAGGAGGCAGGGAAGGCAAGGTATGACCCAAAGAGCCTTCAAGATCATCTAGCCCTCGCTCTAGTCTTTTTCGGCTCGTGTGATGGGGAAACAGAGAGGCTGTTTGGATTCTTTTCGAAACAAAAGCTCCTTGCGTCTTGGCCAGACGGTGAAAGGCGGCCACGACCCCTTCTAGGATCGGACGTCTGAAAGCAAGGCTGGAGGCTGGGTCCGTCCCACCACAGCTC